CAGCATCTTGATCCCTCAAGTTGCATAGGTGGGTATGTCGTCTGGAAAACTGCGTACATACCTGTCAATGGCCTGGCAGTCTCTTCCCCCTCTCCCCCTCACTAATTCAGAAAACAGAGGCTTAAGTGCTGAGAATGCCCCCAAGACAGACACATACATCACTGCTGTAGGACATCATGAGCCTGTGGCATTCACTGCCACAGTGGCTGGATGGATAGGAAGAATGAGAAAGAAACAAGATGTTCCCATGGGTAAGGATAATCACAGTTCCTCAAACTATACAAAACCATATAAAACACAGAATTCTCTTGGGCACCAGAGAATAAACCAACCACTAAAAGCTGATAAAATGTCCCTTTTCTGAGCTAGTTTCTTGTCCCTTCCTTTGAAGCAGCTGCTCAGGAAACTGCATAAGAAGCTGTTCGCATCTGGCACTGCCCGTATCGCTGTGTGTGAGACCCCTGCCATCTCAGTGCCTGTTGTCACTGCACTTGTTCCCCTCACATTTCCCTGTCTGGTTTCCATTCACTGTCTGTCTTGTATCTGGGAGTAAGCAGCCTTCTGCTTGTAACAAACTTGGGATCCACCCTGTACCTTCACTACATTCATAAAGCAAGCCCATATCTAGTCAAGCAAGAAAGAATTCAGCTTCATAGAAATAATCCCCCAAACTCCTATTACTAGCTACATTAATGTAGCTACATTAATTTTAGAAGAAAAATTAGGTCCAAAGCACTGGGCTCATTTTAATAAAGATTCACGGTCACAATTTAATCCCTTGACGAGGAAGAATCAGCTTTTGAGCACATCAGACTCATTACAAACTCCTCACAAAGTCATCAGAGTCCGACAAGTGGTGGCAGGGAAAACGGGCTAAAGGTGAATGATTCTGTGTACGAATTAGATTAAACAGAAGTTACTGAACCTGCACTTCCCTTCACTGCCAGCAGCCGCGGCATTTCCAGGAGAGAGATGAAAGCACCCAGCAAAGAAGACAAACAAGAAAACAGCTCTGAAACAGGCATGCTGATAAAAACAACCTGGGGAGGATGGGACTTGAGATAAAAGAGAAAGTGCAGGAGGTTTTGTAGTGACTTCCAAGTGGGGATGAAGTTAGGGAGCGGAGCTGTCATCAGAGTGATCTTTCCTGCGTATGGTTAGGTGTGGAGCAGCGTAATTTTCTTCTGCAAGTGTCTCGGCTGTTGTGCTTTCCTTCTGCAGCCAGCAATGCAGCTGCGAGCCCCAGGAAAGTCCCAGAAATCTGACACTGCTCCTCAGTGACCGTTTCCCTCTTTCCACATTTGCTTTAGCTCTTTCCGTCCCATTATTTCAGCTCTGGGCAAGGCAATGGGATTATACAGAAGATCTATGGAGACTTTGTCCTTCTTTAGCATTCTCATTGGTGTTGATAAATTGAGCAGGAGGAGGCAGAGGCATCTGGATGTTTCATCATCACCTTGATCTGATACAGCCATAGTGGTATCACAGGAGCATGTGGAGTCCAAGTCTCAGCCAGTGCTGGAGGCTGTGCAGACACACTAAAAAAAGACAAGTCTCAGACCCCAAATATTCTGTGGGGCAGAATGCTTAACACTTAGTGCTATTCTCCAGGGAGATATTGTTTTGCTAGACATTTTCTGCGCCCTTGTAACATTTGGCATAAGGACAGAGGAGCATCAATAGTTTATGTCTCAAGAACTACAGAACTCGTCCCTGAGGATTGCCTCCGCAGGTAGCCTTGCCCACATGGCAGAGGAAGCTGGGTTTTGTCTAGACTCATAGCTCCCCTCCCCAGAGCAGTGCTTCTGCAGAGACCTCAGTTCCTGTATAAGTGTGCAGGGAACAACCAGATGAGGGGAAGATGCAGATTATTACATCCTGATGCCTCCTACACTTTGCAAAGCACCTACCTTGGAGAAGCAGGGACAGAGTTTCAAGGCAGCTTAGGGATGAAGATGCTTGCCATGGTGATTTTGATGAAGCCATGCTGGGGAGCTGGAAGGTCCACAATATTTGGAGGTGGTCTCCCAACATCAGCCAAATCTGCTTTACAACCTTTGACGTAAGGTTTTGGAGGACACTTAAAATGGGAGCATAATCCCCGAAGGGAGAACAGATGAGCTGGGCTCACAGTATTCAGGGTTCAGAAGGGTACATGCATTTAACCAGCTCAAACACCCATCTGGGTGGTCACGTGCCACATTGGTCTTAGGCTGCCTCCTTCTGCCTCACTTTTGAGTTTGGGGTCAGGTACTGCTGAGGCCTGGGGACCCCATGGTGTTGATTTACCCATGAGACCTGGGCACATCCCTTAAACACAGTACTCCCAGGGCCACCGCAGAGTGGGTCTTCTTGAGGAATGAAGCAATTGTCTGATTTCCCCAGGTGTCCCCCAACATCGGAGCAGCTTTAGATGGCAGAGCTAAAGCTTTCTTTGCCAATCTCACAGTCTCTTAAGAGAGTTATAAAATGCCCCCAGCCATGAACTGTGGGCATTCAGACCTAGGTAGCTTGAGGAAATGATTCACAGGGTGCGAGGTACAGGGGAGGGGATTTTCAGGGGTGTTTTCCCCTTTCTCTCCACTTCTCTCTTCCCCCTGCACCACCCTCCCCACTCTCCTGAAAACTGTTTGCCTACAGCTATAGGGCATCGCTTCAGTTCCTGTCTTCATGTGCTCCTCTTTGCTGTGATTCCTCTCTGTCCTCTGTGTGTCTTACAGCTGGCAATGCCTCGTATGTCTTCAGGAAATGTTTCTAAAGGCTTTAGTTTAGTTTGCAATGGGACACGGGGGAAGCACCAGGACTTTGAGGAAATTCTAGCACGGGGGCCCAGTGGCTCACAGCAGTGAAACCTTGTGCAGCTGCAGGAAGCTTGCTCAAAACTGCCTTAAACAAACATGTGGTGGCTGTGCCTGGGTCACTGGGTATGGCTAGCCCAGGGCATTGCTAGCCCATCCCTACAGCACCCCAGAGCTGCCCTGGAGAGGAACCACTTTGAAGAAGTGGGGAGTGTATCAGACAGGTTGTGGTGGGGGATGCTACCTTCTCCACCCTGAGCTCAATAGCCGAACCCTTGAAGCAGGGAACTGGGACTCAGCTGGTCCCAGTGCACCTTCCCGGGCAGGTGCCAACAGCCCCAGGCTGGTGTAGCAATCCCTGTGAAGCCTGGGAGGCATGTCCCTGTGCAGAGGGTGGCAGGGCAGTGGGGACAGCATGGCCCCGGGGGCAACATCTGCCCAGCACCAGGTTGTGCACCAGGTTCCTGGGACAGGAACCTCCTGGAGAGGAAAGGGAGCTTTGCCCCTGAGCTGCCTGGGGCAGACCTGCTTGGACACCCAGACTCCATCAACCCTGGGAGCCTGCACGTGTCTCTAGGGTCCCCGACCCAAACAACTTGTGCACATTTATAGGGCCTGCTTACACACATCCATAAGGACCATACCTCCCACGCACTCTGTGATAGGGAACATATCGTATGTCCAGAGGGTCCCTAACACTCATACACACCTATAGGGTCTATGTAGCTCTCAACCATCCATAGGGACCATATTCCCTGCACACATCGATCCATAAACTCATGCCCACTTATAGGAACAACACCCAGTGCACACACTGTTAGGGACCATACAGACTGCAAATCTATAGCCATCATAGCCCCTGCATGCCCCTGTAGCCACTGTCGTCCCATCCACACCTATAGGGACTGTACAGACAGCTGACCCAGGGGGACCACATCCCCTGCCCATCCCTGTGAGGACCACACCCCCATGGACAGGTACAGGGGCCATACACCACACACGCCTCTAGGGACCACACCCCTGCCCACCTCTGTAGGGACCGTAACCCCATGCACCGCACCTCGCTCCCACCAGTGGAGACCGCGCCCCCCCACACCCCTGCAACCCTCCACGCTCCTA